TGGTGGCACAGTGGCAAGGGACATAAGGGGACAAGCAGGCCCCTCACACTGGGCAGAGCACATTACTTGAATTCTTGTCAGACCTGCAGTATTTTTTCTGGCATTTTTTCAAGCTCTTTTATAAAGACAATAAGGAAGGACATTCAGTGCCCATGAAAACTGGCAGATAACACACCTGAGAGAAACAACAGGCATAAAGAAGATTGTTCAAGACAACCTAGATAAGTTTCAACAGCAGACTTGCTTAGAGCTAACAGGACATCAAAATGAGGAGGAGAGTCACACAAAACTATCAACAGGATGGTTCCTTACACTGAACCATCTGCAATCCATCTCCACTGGCAGCGTAGGATCAGATCATCCCAGTAGCAGCCTGGTACCTGCTGGGAGCTGCACTGCCTGGAGGCCTGGGAGCACAGCAGGGCTTGGGGCTGATCCCTGGTATGGAATCAATTCACGTGGTAAGGCAATGCCAGGAGACAATTAGGACAATTTTACCATATCTGCATTTTATGGTAAATAAGTGGTTAAACAAGGAAATCCCTGAAGTCCTTCAAGATTTCATTGAGCAGCAGGACAGAGTGGGAGAACTTCCAACATTAATTCCTTATCCCTTATACCCCATTCCAGGGCATTCTTGATGATGCCTCCTGGCACAGTCCCCTCCCTGCCCAGCAGCAAGCATAGCCAAGGACCACAAGGAACATGCTCAGAGGGAATATTTCCCAGCGCAAGGCTGCTCTGCCAGCCCCTGTGGATGCAGGCAGCTGAGGGAGCACGGGGTGACACCCAGAGAAGGAGCTGGGAGCAGATGAGGGGCTCTTCAGGGATGTTTCTCAGTTCTTCACTGACAGAACACCTTCTGTACCAACAGGAGGGCTGAGATCTGAACCAGAATTGGGTGTTGGAAGAGCAGAGATCTGAACCAGAATTAAGAGTGAGCAGAGAGAAGAGATCTGAACCAGAACTAGGTATGGGGAGAGAAGGGCTGTGACCCAGAACCGGGTGGGGACAGAGCAGACATCTGAACCGCCCTTCTGTCCCAGGTGGGGACAGAGCAGACATCTGAACCGGAATTAAAAGTGGGCAGAGCAGAGATCTGAACCAGAATTGGGTGTGGGCATGGCAGAGATCTGAACCAGAATCGAGTGTTGGAAGAGCAGAAACATGAAATAGAATTGGGCATGGGCAGAGCAGAGATCTGAACCAGAATTGGGTGTGGGCATGGCAGAGATCTGAACCAGAATCGAGTGTTGGAAGAGCAGAAACATGAAATAGAATTGGGCATGGGCAGAGCAGAGATCTGAACCAGAATTAAAAGTCAGCAGAGAAAAGAATTGAACCAGAATTGGATGTGGGGAGAGAAGGAATCTGACCCAAAACTGAGTGTGGGCGGAGCACAGATCTGAACCAGAACTGGTTGTTGGAAGAGCAGAAATCTGAACCAGAATTAAAAGTTGGCAGGGATCTGAACCAGAATTAGGAGTGACAGAGCAGAGATCTGACCCAGAACTGGGTGTTGGAAGAGCAGAGATCTGACCCAGAATTAGGAGTGACAGAGCAGAGATCTGACCCAGAACTGGGTGTTGGAAGAGCAGAGATCTGACCCAGAACTGGGAGTTGGAAGAGCAGAGATCTGACCCAGAACTGGGAGTTGGAAGAGCAGAGATCTGACCCAGAATTGGGTGTTGGAAGAGCAAAGACCTGACCCAGACTCAGGCAGCAGTTTGGGCACTGCAGCTTGGCAAGGGCTGCATCCACCCCATCTCAACCCCACAGAGCAGCACAGACAAAGCTTAAAAGGATCTGTTGTCATGACTAAACAACTGAAGATGTATTTGAGGTGTGGTTATGAAGCTTCTCCCCACAAGGCAGAACTTGTGCATGAGTGGAAGATATAATTTTGCTTGGATATTTAAAAAAACACAACCCAAGCCCAAATCCCCAGTTGTTTCAGTGATATTTCCCATGCACTTCTGCTCCAGCAGCTAAATAGAAGAAATACCAATTAAGTTTGGAAGACTTCTACATAAACCATAATCTTTATGTTACAATGGGGGGCAAAGTGTTTTCATTAACATTTTTCCTGAGGCTTTTTTTCAGTAAAGGCCTAAGGGAAGAATCAATGCTTAGAATCTTTTCAGTTTGCTTTGACTTTTTAAGCCCAGGAATTAGTAAGCTAATGTTTCTTAGTTTTGTGGAGGCAAAAATGTAAAATAAAAATAATAAAATGAAAAAGAAAAGGAAAAAATTTAATCCAGATAATGAAAGTAATGATAACTTCCACTCTGAAATGACAGCTGAGGAGGTAAATTGTAAAATACAATTGCTCGTAATGACTCAACAAAAATAGCTCAGCATCTCAGACAGTACTTAAGCAATGAAGTCTCAGTTGTAAAGCAAAAGGAAATCAGATTTGAGTTTTTACCAGAACAAGCCAAAAAAACCACCCAAACTTATAATTTGCTGTCACTGTGTCTCAGATATTGGCAGAGATGATCAATAGTAAAAAATTTGTTTTCTCTAATGATGAACAGTTATCCTCAGCAGATTGAGATACATATTTCTGCCATTTTTCACTCTAAATTATAATATCAAATGCCTTCTCCTTCTGATGGACAACCTGCACAGGGATGCACAAGAGCAAAGGAACAGTGTTACAGATCACTAAAGCCAAAAACATGGAACAAGTTGTAAGAGATAAGAACACAAAATCCATTCATGACTTAGCAAACAATATATACCTAAAGTAACAACCAAAATTAAAAAATAAAAAGCTTTTTGACAGATCTGGCAAGAAAACATTTCTGAGAGAAATGTAAATATTGCAGTCTTTTTCTCCAACTCAGTAAAGCTTTTAGGCACCCTTAAAAGCAGCCACATCTTTAACTGCATCTCCAACTATCAAAGCACTGAAAGTTTCCACTGACTTAACTGATCAGAGTGGTGAACAGGCAAAGGATGAAACAAACACTCACAAGGTGAGCTGAATTGGAGCCTCTAAATACAGCACCAGCTGCCACACAACACAAGAAACTGTGTCCTGCTAACACAGAAACTCTGAGTTAGCACCTCCATCTATTTGTAAGGATTTCAGGATTAAATGCCTGCCCCACATCAGGAACTCCAGAGAGCAGATTAACAAAGCAGGGCTGGGATAATCTTGGCCTACACAAAACACAGCTGGGGAAGCCAAGCACTAAAGCCAAAATCCCAACAAGGGAGAGTCAAATAAAAGCATCAAGTTGCATTTGAAGCTTTTATGGAGGGTTTGCAGCTTCACCCCCAATCCACCCTGTAAGGAATTGCTGTGAACCACACAGCAGTCTGTCCATTAAAAATATACATTTTGAGAGTATGGAGAGTTTTTTTGACACTGAATGGAGGGAACTAGGCATTCAAATAATAAATGAAATCTGGTTATTTTAACCTCTATAATGAGTCTTTTTGAAAACTATCTTTAGCTGATGCTGTGGTGCTTCCAGGTTGTTCAAGAGAGATCACTTATTCAGTCTTGAAAACCTTTCAAAGGCTGAAGAATGTGCCATTGCAGGGATGAAACTGAACATCATTAAAAATGGGCCCAGAATTTTGCTAACAGTTGTTCTGGATACCGTGTTCTGACTTTGCCAAGCAGCATCAGATTTGCTTTACTTGAGCAATTCCTAAAATAATAAAACCATGTTATGTTACACTTTCAAGCAGCAAAATGCTCAAGAAATTTGCTTACTAATAGAACCATATGGTTTCACAAGAGCCGGACACAAATGACTCATTAAAAAAAATCTTGTTTGTCTCATTCTTAAATATTTTCTTTTAAAAACTATTGCAGAGTTTCAGTATCTTCGCCTAACGTAAAATTCCCTCGCTATCTGCAAAGGTCATTATTTGCTGTATCTCCTGTGGGGAAGAACAGAATCCCATCCCTCTTGGCAGTGTCATGATTAAAAACTCCACTCCCTTGTCAGTCATCTTCCCTTCAGCAGGAGCAGAAGTTGCTTTAAACATATGTTTTAGCAAAAATCCCATCTTATCACTCTTCTTGCTCCAGACTCTCCAACTTTTCTTCATGTTCTAGCCTAAAACTTTCCTTGATGCTTTAATTCTTCTGCTCACAGCCCTGTTTTTCAGGCTATGTTGCTGCCATAGGCTGTCCATCTATCCTTGAACATTTCTGCCATGGTATGATACTGGCAACCCAATTCTTTCCTTTGAAAATTAAATATTAGCCCACTATCTCCCAGACTGGCATTTCCTTCTTGCCCATCTTCAAATTTCTGAAGTTTGTCATGAAAGGGTCCCAGGCCCAGCAGGAATCTCCCAGATCAATTAAGCTCCCTCTCAACTATTATTATTATTAGTGTTGCATACATACAGAAATAATCTCAGAATTTAATCAAACCACACTCTTGCTCCCACTGTGCATAAAGGGCTTTTTACAATAATCCTACTAATTATTAAAACTGATTGCATTCAGTGGCCAATAAATTTATTCAAAAAGATTTTTATCATCACAGCATTTGACCACCATCAAGTGTTGCCTTGATTTTAATATTCACTGTGGCATGTGAAACTACTCTGTGGTTTACAAGAGAAAACAAACACCAAAAGAGAGTCTGGCCACAATTATTTGTCTCATCATTCACACGTGCATTTTCAGTAAGATTCTGTTACAAAAACTCCAAACTCTGTAATACAAAATACACCACAACTGCTAAGAGACACAGAAAAAAAGTCATCAAATTGTACAATAAACATGAGATTTTCAGGCCCTGCTAAAATAAATCATCATGAGAAAACATCTGAACCTCAGAAGCTGTAGAATGCACATGAATTGCTTCAATAAACTCCTAAATGAGCAATTTTGAAAATTCCTTCACATAATTCTTTACCTACATGTTGCTGATGATATCAAAAAAATGTTACCAATATGGTCTTTAAGTTATATTCAATAGAACAGGGACAATGAGTGAGATTTCAAGAGTCAGGGCAAGGCTCACCTTGTTGCTGGCAGGGTACTGATGCGAGTGAAGAAAACAGAGGGCTCCACCTCCACGTGGAGACCCAGGGCAAGGTTCCTGTAGTATCCTTCAGCATGCCCTGGTCCACCAGAGTACTTGAAGTTCAAAATGGCTTCCAGCATCTAGAGGAATAAAAATCAATTCCTTGTTAGCTATTTTTCACAACTGTGCACTTCACAAGTTCAATTAAATTAGGCCACAGAAGTGATTTGCAAATTTGCTTTCCTAACCCATCCATTCTGTTATCTCAGGAAAAAAGGCAATCTAACAAATAACTGTAGCTTAGGCAAACAGTTGCCTAATCCTTTTGAAAACCAAAGAGTGCAGCACAAAGTCAGTTGGGCTTCCCTTTACATAATTCCTCTCCATATCACATTCAACATCAAAAAAATGAAAAAAGTTTCTTAAAAGAGTTAGGGTTTATTCAATGCTGCACTCCTTCATTGTCTTGAAAAATATTCACTACCTAATCAAATGGAAAAGCTTCAAAGTTTGGGGGCAGATAAAGATTATACAAAGCTAAAAGAATCTGGTCTCTCAACAAGTCACTGCAAACTTACTCTCATGTCCATGAACTAACAACATCTAACTGCATGCATCTTGTCTTTGTGTTCATTTTATAGGAAATGGCTGGCTAGTAAATATTAAAAATGAGGATGATTCTCTAGCATGAGCCTTCTGCACTCATTGCTCCCAGCAGCACTGAGCCTTTACTACTGTGAGGAAATTTGGGGCTTTGTGTCTTTCCCCTCGATGAACAGCATGGGAGCAGCTTCCCAGCACAGTCCCCACGTCATCATCAGTGTTCAAGCTCAGAACAACCCTTTGAATGAGCCAAAGAGATTATTCACCACCTCCTCTTTCATTATGTTCCTGAAATATGATTTGCTGGAAGCAAGGTGAGAATTTGGGAAATGTCACTGGAATTTTTGTTTGTTTGTTTGTTTGGGGTTTTTTTGTTTTTTTGTTATTTTCTCAGTTTTTATTCTGGTCCTTGGGCAGCTGCTACTGCCACACCTCAGGGTAAGGACAGAGGCAGTGCCAGCCCTGAAGCCTGAGATGGACATCACATATCATGCTGAAGCCTGTATCTGGAAGGACAGACTCTTCTTAAAAGGCTTTAGAAACAACAGCAATTTCACCTTTGTTTGGCTTTTAGCTCATTCTTTATAAAAAAAGGCAAAAAATGCCAAATCTCAAGTCAACAACTTATCCAGGGAAGCAAATCTATTTATCAGACACCATCAAGCCTCAGAAAAGTAAAAGCACTCTGCCTTTCAACAGAAGAGTCACAAAAAATTTATGAGACCTGTTATTTTTTATCATGAGCTCTAAGGAACAATCTAAGGATTTTCCAACTTACAAAAACTCCATTTTTGTTTGATATCATTCTGTTTATAAGTCTGGCTGAAGGAAAAGAAACCGAGATAGAATAATTTTCTTAAAATAACCATAATCCAGTGATTTAAAGAATACCAAAATCAAGAGTTTAATGTTCTGCTGCATGTGTGCACTTAACTGTTCTGCCTATTTCCAATTTGCTTTTAAGTGGAATAATTTCAAGTCTTAATTTAGTTTCATTAAAATTCATGAGAGTCACCTTACAATACAAATAAAACCCTTCACTGGGCACTCTGGACATACCCATCTACTCTGTTTATGTCAATTCCTAATTTGTACTTAATGAACTCAAGTTTATGTTATGTCAGAAGAGCTAATCAATATTAAACACAAAAATAAAAAAAAAAGCACAAGCCCATTCAAAACATACTTCATCCTAATTAACCAGCTGGACCATTTCATAAAAATCAGAGCCAGGCTCTGTAAGTACAGGGATCTGACACTACTTATGTTGTAATGTGAGAATGGACTTCAATTTCAATTAGGGCATGGTGAAAACTCTGCATGTTCTGCATTATTGCTGCAATGCTCCCAGAGTCCTGCTGGGAAAAGCTCCATGGTTCCCTCTGCACAGGACCATGGAAAAAAAGCTGCTTTAGCAGGACCAGCCCCGTGTCATTTCAGGTAAACAGATTTCAGCTTGAAAGGTCACAGAGCATCACTATTCCAGATTCAAACTCCTTTCCATGATAGACCAAGTGAAAAACCTCCAGATAAAAGGCTAAAACTACAGCCATTACGTGGCACTGATGAGCAGGGGGGTTTAAAGGCACCATCATAATCTTGGTCCCTGTCGCAGTGAGGAATTTATGGGGAAAATCCACCTGGTGATGCTGCGACTCCTGAAGTCCCACAGAGAGAACAGGGAAAAGGAAACCCAACCATCTTCTGTTAATCCACCCAGCAGCAGGACATCCCTTCTCACCAAAAATGTGAGATCTAACTGGGCACAGTAAACACTGAGGCGACAAGAGATTCTGACAACTGCAGAACTCCCAAAGCTCTGGTCTTTCTCTGGCCATGATGGTTTGCAGGAGTCTATGAATGTGCATGTGCACACAAGGAAAAAACATCAGGCAGACTTGACATCAGTACTATAGATGGATGTGTAGGGTAGGAGAATGACTGAAGGAAATATTTCTTTTTTTCAGGAGCCTTCAGGTGGTTAGAGAAAATTTTATTGCTTAGGATTTATGTGATATGAGCAGAAAAAAATGTTTTTAAAACCTCACAACAACTACAACAAAATTCAATCTCCTTTAAAACCTCAAAAAATACTTCATCTATTACATGAAGGATTGATTTTTCTACCTCTATGATAGAAAAAAAAAACTCTACACTTTCATAAACCTACAAATTTCAAATAATTTACCACTCTATCCCAGAGCACCTGCAAGGAATGGCCCAAATGCTACAGCCCCAATCTAAATAATATTGCACCCTGACTCCTTGTGAAACCTACAGAAATCACAGCCTGAGCTGCAGATTCTCTTCATCCTTACAAATCCAAATAGCATCACTTAGATTTCTCCAAATTGCATCACTGCAGACTGAAAATGAGATGGCACAATGGCCCTGTGAAGACCATTCTTCCTGCAGATGATCCGTAAAAAACAAAGGGAAGGAAGGAGGGAGCACACCAGGCTTCCAGGGCAGGCAGGAAAAGAATATTGATAACTGTTGAACACATCTGAAATTCAGAAACCTGTGGACTTTGGGGGATTCTTGTTTTTAAGGCAGAGCTCCATTCTGGAAACTCAACAGTAAATTTTTACTGTGATGGCTTTGGCTTGAAAAATTTTTTATGATTTCATTGGTCCTTCCTTCTGTTGATAAAGAAAAGGAAACAAAAATGTTTCTGCGTCTAAATTCAAAATGAGAGATTCTTAACCAACAGCATCCACTATCAATAACACCTACCAGAAATATTCAGCAGATAAACTATCAAAAATTGCTGGTTTTGTTTTTCATGCATTTTTTCCTCCAAGTATTTTCAGCATAGAGCTGGCACCAGTTTGTTGACTCATAATGAAATTTAAAGTAAAGTTAGAAAGGAACTGAGGTTTGATGCCACAAATGGAAAGCAAACCATTGGGCACTAAAGTTTCCTCACCCACTGGCACCAGTCAGCACCCACCTGCCAACACCCCAGTGGTGACACTGAACAGCAACACCCTTAATACTGATTTTTAATTGCCAATTCAATTGCAATCCACAGCTCAGAGCAAGTATTTCTATTGAACTACTACCACAGTACTTCCCCCACAGAAACAGAGGATCAAATCTAAAGAGAATTTCCACCAAATTCTCAGATTATTGCTGCTCATGCAACAGAAGCTGGAATATTACTGACAACAGAAAACTCAGGCAATGACAAATTAAATAGAGAAATGAATGGGGGAAAAGCTGTGTGAGGCATTTCTTGTGCTGGCAAGCGAAATATGGTGCTCATTCCTTTCTCTCTGCTCGTTCTCAACTGAGGGATGGTTGACTGAATACCAGACTCAAGAAAATTTGCCCCCCCCCAAAAAAGTGCTCAAAGTTCTGTGTAGCAAACAGCACAATTTTAGCTCAAGAATTTTCTTGGACCAAGAGCACTTTAAGGAAGTATAAACCAAAGATACAAGGGCCCACCTGCAGAGATGCAATCATTATATGCTCTATGTAAAGGAAAATAAAGCTTCCATAGAAGAACACAATGCATCATCATAATTTGTGAGCAAGGCTCACATACACGGTGTTTTCAGGTCTTTTCTAAATTCCCTTAGTACAGTAAAAATTACACTAAGTAGGTCTCAGCACTTAATAGAAGATGAAATGTCAGTGCTACAGGCAGTTTGCTCCCAAGGAACTGCAGATGCTGACTTCAATGACTGAAGAAATACCAGACTGTAGCACTACAGACTCGTCCTTAAATCCATAATACTTAAAAACTAAAAACTAAGGGAAAAATAAAATTAGCACGAAGACCAGACTCATACAATTCAGAACATAATCTTTCTATTTTAGCTTCTGAATGGCTTCTAGAACACAATTCTCATTAATGAGTATCATTTCTTATGCAATTAGGGCCTGACATTCAAAAAATAACTTATTCTAGGTGTGCAACCTTCCAATACACCTTCCTTTGGGAAAAAAAATACAGATTACTTGCCCAACTGCAAATATGATTTATTCCCAAGTCCTATCCTGCTCCTGATCTGCTTCTCACCCAAATTCTCATTAGCAGCACTGGCTCCACACATTCCTGAGTGCTCAGCCATTTTTTCTGACTTTAGCCCCTTTTCTCACCTGTTGCCTTGTGTTTTCTGGTTTGGGTATGGGATTTTTTTCTTTAAACTTACCCTAAACCCCAATTTTGTTAAGTTCTCTCTGCCTCCCTCCCTCATTCCTCTTCTCTGACCATTCCACTCTCAACTCTGATCAACAATCAGTAAAATCCTCATCAGTAAAAAAAAAAAAAAAAAAAAAAAAAAAAAGTGCTACTTCATCAGTTCCATCTCACAAAAGGCACCAGAGGATCTGTCTCAACAAATTAATTTCTCCATTTCTTCTACTGTGTGGAATGCTGAAAATCTTTAAAGAGCTTTGTGTAAATAAACCATGGATCAGGAATTTCAGCTGCCTAGCTGTAACTAATTAAATGATCTGGCAGTAACAAGGAGAAAGAGCATTTCCCTAATTAACCACACTCTTTTCAAGGGCAGCAGGTGACCCTGGC